GTGTCACCTACTACTGTAGCCGGGGGCTCACCCTACGTGGCTCCCAGCGGCGAACATGCCAGGAAGGTGGCTCTTGGAGTGGAACAGAGCCTTCTTGCCAAGGTGACCCTTGACCTATGCCCTCAGGTCAGATCTTGCTCTCTCATCCTCAATCCTCATAACAGGGCACTATCTTCTCTCCCCTTAACCTAGCTCCTTCCACTTCTAAACCTCCCTGCAGAACTTCCTCACTTTTGAGCTCTTCCACTCTGGAAACCCACTGTCCCCTGTCTCTCTGGTCCCTGTGTTCCTGACCCTCCCAGACATTTGACCTGATTTCTGACCTCTGCCAGACTCCTTTATGTATGATACCCCTGGAGAGGTGGCCGAAGCCTTCCTGTCTTCCCTGACAGAGACGATAGAAGGAGTCGATGCTGAGGACGGGCACAGACCAGGTTTGACAGAGTGGGAGATGGGGCAGGGAACTAACTCGGGGAGAGTGGGCAGGAGAACCATGCACGCTGAGCCTGAGTGTCTCTGATGGCACCCAGGGGAACAACAGAAGAGGAAGATCGTCCTGGATCCCTCAGGCTCCATGAACATCTATCTTGTGCTGGATGGATCAGACAGCATTGGGGCACACAACTTCACAGGGGCCAAGAACTGTCTTAGAGACTTCATTGAGAAGGTGAAGCCGCTCCCCCTGAATGTGGGGACCCTAAATGGATCTCACTGCTGTGCCCGGACTAGCTTCCTGGTGTTCCCAGACCCTCTGAGCCACAGGGTTCTAGAAACATCCAGGCCCTCCTTCCCTTTTACTTGAAGCAGTTTCTTGACCTTTAACCCAGACTCCCCAACAAACCTCAGAGTGACTATCCAACCCTTGAGTCTCTTCCTATGCCCTTCCCTGTCCCAGCAATGCCATGACCCTTTGCTTCCCTCAGGTGGCAAGTTATGGAGTGAAGCCAAAATATGGTCTAGTGACATATGCCACAGACACCAACATTTTGATCAGAGTGTCCCAAGCAGAGAGCAGCAATGCAGACTGGGTCACAGAGAAGCTCAACAAAATCAGCTATGAAGGTCAGAAGTCAGGGAAGGGAATGGTGGGAGGTTCACTTTGGGGTCAGAGAGGTTGGAAGGTTCAGGGTGTAGCATAAGACCACATCAGGGGGCCAGGAAGACCACTTTGTAATGCACAGTTGGACATCAGGGTCAGTGGGGAATGAGGGTTAGTGGGAACCCGTTATGGGCTGAAAGGGTCACTTTGTGGTCAAAGGGAAGTCAGAGGGGTGACGACTAACGAAGTTGGAAAATGTGGAATCTACTGCTGACAGGCCTCTGGGTTTTAAGAAAGTCTTGGAAGGCTAGGTGGGGTGACGATCTCCTTCCTTTCCACAGATCACAAGTTGAAGACGGGAACTAACACCAAGAAGGCCCTCCAGGCCGTGTACAGCATGATGAGCTGGGAAGGGAACAGCCCCCCAGAAGGCTGGAACCGCACCCGCCATGTCATCATTCTCATGACTGACGGTCAGAAGGGCCCTTTCTCCTGCCCAACTCTCAGCCATTCATACCAGTGTGTGGCCCTTTGGTCCACACCTAACAGTGACTCATAGTGGGGGCCCTGAGCAGCAATGGGCCTCAACCATGTTGATCTTTTCTGTGACACTTTACAAGGGGGGCTCTCCATGATCTATCACTTCCATTTCCTTCCCAACCTGCTTAACCAGCCATGTGTCACTATATCTGGCCAATTTATCTTTCTTGACCCTCCTCCTTGCCTCCCCCGTCATGGTCCATCTCTTCTGCAGGCTTGCACAACATGGGTGGGGACCCAGTCCCTGTCATTCACGATATCCGGGCCTTGCTGGACATTGGTAGGGATCGCAAAAACCCAAGGGAAGAGTACCTGGGTAAGTTTTACCACCCAGAACCCTGGGTGGGTAAGTTTTACCACCCAGAACCCAGAACCCTACTTTCAGTTCCTGCGCCCCAGGGTTTGGACCCTCACCCTGACCTTTTCTCTCTCAGACATCTATGTGTTCGGTGTTGGGCCTCTGGTGAACCAAGAGAACATCAATGCTTTGGCTTCCAAGAAAGATAAAGAGAAACATGTGTTCAAAGTCAAGGACATGGAAAACCTGCAAGATGTTTTCTTCCAAATGCTTGGTAGGAAGATATCAGAATAGTGTAAGATGGATGGGAAACTCAGCTCTCCCCAGGCTCCCCCAGGTCACTCATCTTTCTTCTCCTCCCAAAGCCATGGCAGTCTGGAAGGCTGTCCTCATTTCTGAGGACTCATTTCTGAGTGTCATTATTGTTTCCTGACACTGTCCACTTCCTTATCTTAGAGGCATGGAACTCCAAAAGACGTCAGAGACCTTTCTCCAGTCCCTTTGTTTTACAGATGTGCAAATTGCAGCTGAGGGATGTCAGAGGACAGCAAGAGTTAGGCCTGAAATTAGCCAGGTCTCCGATCTTAGCCTCAAATTGTTGTCATTGTACCAGTGATTTCTTGTCTTCATCATAAGTAAACAAATGCCCCTGCCTTTCCTTTTCTCCTTATGGGCCTTGGGTCCCCATGGACATGTAGGTGTCCCTCCCTAACAGGAGCTGCTATTTGGAATGGTGTCCCAGCCTTCAGCACGTTCTTTTTTGCCAGATGAAAGCCGGACTCTGGGTCTCTGTGGCATGGTTTGGGAGCACAGGGATGACAGTGATTACCACAGGCAACCATGGCAGGCCAAGATCTCTGTCACTGTAAGCAGTGTTCCTGTGGTGGGGACTTCTGGGAGCTGAGGTCAGGGTGAAGTGTGGGTAAGGGAAAGGGCCAAGTTTCCATGCTCGAGTGTGGTGTCTGTGAAAGTGGAGCTCCCCCCTCTGCCATTCTGTTCCCAGCGCCCTTCGAAGGGACACGAGAACTGCATGGGGGCCGTGGTGTCGGAGTACTTTGTGCTGACGGCGGCACACTGTTTCACGGTGGATGACCAGTCACACTCCATCAAGGTCAACGTGGGTAAGGGTGACAAGAATCAATCCTGAGCTCCACCTTCTGGCCAACACCTCCCACTTCAAGAGCCCACAGCCCACATGCCCTCCACGTAGTCCCTTCCTTTGTACACTGGACCAGTTAGGATGCGGTGGGGCCAAAGGCGGGAGGCTGCCCACAGAGAAGTGGGAGGTCCAGAGGTACACACAATTCTCCAACCTTAGGAGGGATAAAGCAGGACATGGACATAGAAGCAGTCCTATTTCACCCCAAGTACAACATCAGTAAGAAAAACGCAGAAGGAATCACTGAATTTTATGACTACGACGTGGCCCTGATCAAGCTCAAGAACAAACTGAAGTTTACTGAGACTCTCAGGTGTGGCTTCCTGGGAAAAAGGTGGGGCTGGAAGACTGGGTAGGTACAGTGTGTCATCCCTGAATTTCCCCATCTCTCCTCAACAGACCCATTTGTCTCCCTTGCACCAAGGGGACAAATCAAGCTTTGAGGCTTCCGCTGTCAACCACTTGCCAGCAGCAGAGTAAGACATGTTCAGGGAGAGCACTGGGATGCGAGTCCAAGAGACAAGGGTGCATGAGAGTTGCTGCAGGAGATAACTGCTCAGCCCCTAACTCACACAGAGGGGCTGAGGGATGTTTGCTGAGATGGGGGTGGGGAGTGCTGAAATGATCCAGTTTGTCCATCTGTCCAGTGCAAGAGCTGCTCCCTGCAAAGGATATCAAAGCTCTGTTTGTGTCTGAGTTGGTCAAGGATGGGAAGAAGAGGCTGACTCGGAAGGAGGTCTACATCAAGAATGGGGATAGGGTAAGAATTGTGGGATCCTAAGGAGTTCCTGTACCTGGGGTATCCAACCTTTTGGTATCTCTGGGCCACACTGGAAGAGTTGTTCTGAGCCACACATTAAATGCATTGTGACATAATCACACACACAAAAATCTCTAATTTTAAGTCAATTTACGATTTTGTGCTAGGCTGCATTCACAGGCATCCTGAGCTGCATGCAGCCTGCAGGTTGGGCACCCCTGCCTCTGACTCTCCCTAAGCAAACTTTGTTATCCCCTTCTCCATGCTTCCCACCTCACCTACAGAAAGATGCATGTGAGAGAGATGCTCAAAAGGCCCCAGGCTATGAGAAAGTCCAGGACATCTATAAGGTGGTCACCCCCAGGTTCCTTTGCACTGGAGGGGTGAACCCCTATGCTGATCCCAACACTTGCAAAGGTGAGAAAAGGCTCTTTGGTTGTGCTGCAAGTTCCTGAGGCCCAAGAGTCTTTCCCTACAGCTTCTCTTTTCCTGTAGGTGATTCCGGTGGTCCCCTGATTATTCATAAGAGGAGCCGCTTCATTCAAGTGAGTCTCCCCTTTCCCAGTAGCAGGGAGATGCCTAGTGGTCAGCACAGGCCCTGAAGCAGTCAAGTCAAACGGATGTGGCTAGAAAGGGGAGGGCAGAGCCCATTTCACCTTAGGGCTATTCCCTGGACTGATTGGCTCAGGACCTCGTGTCTGGCCTGGGTGCTGCAGAGGACAGGACTGAGCTGGGTCACTAGTCTAACTCTTCCAGGTCAGTGCAGACGCACTTGGGAGTAGTTTTGCTTTCTGGGATGAGGAAGGAATCCTACCAAACGATCTGTGGCAACCCCTTGCCCTTTCCAGGTTGGTGTGATCAGCTGGGGTGTAGTGGATGTCTGCAAAGACAAGCGGTTGCAGCGCCAGGTACCTGCTCACGCCCGAGACTTTCACATCAACCTCTTCCAAGTGCTCCCCTGGCTCAAGGAGAAACTCCAAGATGAGGGTCTGGAATTTCTATGAGGGGTTTCCTGCTGGAAAGGGGCATGTGATCAAATTAAAACAGCTCTGACTATACTGTGTTCAAGATCCTTTTGGGGAAGGGAGTGGGGAATGTGCACTGGCTACCTTGTTACAAAGCAAAACAAATCAAATCGAAGAGCCATTTTTAACGGTTCAACCGCAATTCCAAGTTCTGAAAAACCAGAGGCTGAGGAAGATGGTGAGCTTCCACCTCAGTGTTTTACTGAGACCAGTGTTGGGGCAGACGAGGCACAAGAAATCCAGCTCCATAACTAGAAGCCATCCACAAGGTTTTCCTTGTAGACATCATCACTGTAGACAATCTGGGTCCTTTTGTCCCGGTGGCAACCCTTAGGACTGTTCTGGACAGCTAGGTTGGAAGGAAAGGATTAGTTAAGGCCAGAAGGAGAGCATTGGTGAGACCCTAGGCCCAGTCTTACCTCCTCACTCCTGACCTGACTTTTGGAAGCCTGGTTTCTATGCTGCCCTCTGGTGGTTGGGATGGCCTGTCTCCCTTTAGCCCCTTAGGCTAGTGGCTGCCAATTCATCACTGGGGCAAAGGGTATTATGCTGTTATCTTGGCACATGGGCATACTGTAACAAATGTTTTGTTCTTAGAAAATTCCCAAACGTTGTTGTTGACACATGTGAATGGCGCTTACTTAATGCTTTTAGTTAGTACATCAAAAATTAAAAATTAGAAAATCTCACCCTGGCTGATATGGCTCATTGGATTGAACACTGGCTTGCAAACCAAGGGGTCACTGGTTCGATTCCCAGTCAGGGCACATGCCTGGGTTGTGAGCCAGGTCCCCAGCAGGGGACATGTGAGAGGAGACCACACATTGATGTTTCTCTCCCTCTATTTCTTCCTCTCTTCCCCTCTAAAAATAAATACAATCTTTGAAAAAAAGAAAAAAGAAAATCTCTACAGCCCTTTGTTGACATGTTGGTCTTTTATCTGGAAGGCCACTCTTGCTCTGAACCCCTTGTTTTGTTAACTCCTTTGTCAAGAAAATCTATTTCAGCTAAACTTGGTTATTCACACCGAGAAACGCTCCTTTCCCTACCAGGAGAACTCACTCCGGGGGTAGCTTTGACCCTGAGCATTCTTGCGTGAGCCTTGGGCTCTCTTCCCCTTTCTCTTTCCTCCCTGTATCCAGTGTGTCTTTCTCTTCGCCCCATCTCCAAGGATTCCATCCCTGCCACTCTGGGGCTAGAGTGAACCCCCCACACCAGCTCCCATCTCTTGGATTTTTATATCCCGCCACTGCTGATCACGCCCTCCTCAAAGCTGGGGTTCTTTGGTTTCAGGGGCCCAGGTCCCCCTGGTGCTGCTCCCAGCCCTGACCCCTCCTGGTATCAATGTTTCCAAAAGGAGAGAAGGCCCCACGGAGGAAGGTGGGCGTCATGTCTTCTCCATACTATGCTGCATCAACTTCAGCCTAACACGCAGAAGAGCTGGGACAGGTGGGGCATGAGGAACACAACCCTCCTTCCTACCACATGGCCTGTGCATTTCCCAAGCCCAGCCCTGGGTCATTTCCCCCTGCCCCCCAATGATACTGTCATTTTGCAGCCACCATGAGATACAGATGACTAATCTGTTTTCATTTCTCACCTCATGCCTGAGTTCCAGATCTCTATTCCAAATGCTTATTTTAGAAAACCTACTATACTTCATCTCAAAATGAACAAGGCCACATGAAATGTTCATCTTCCTCATGAACTTGACCTGCTTTCACGTCTTCCCTGTTCAGTTATTGGAAGTTGTTTTCAACCCTTTTCTCTCTTCTTTCTCCTACTTCCAACTGACAGAGGGTCTACCCACTCTCCTTCCCATTCCCACAGCCTCCCACAAATCCTGACCTCTAGAGAACCCGGGGACACGCAGGGAAACAAAAGGCGTGAGAGGTGGGGGACAGAATGAAGGAGCAGAAATCCTGTTCTTACCAAGGGAGCCCCAGACTGACTTCCCAGTGGCGGCGTCCAGCATGGGCTGTTTGCGGGCAATGCTGACTTTGAGCTGCACGGACTCCACCTGGGTCCCATTGAGCTGGGGCAGAAGTGGGGAGGGCAGAAGATGGGGGAACATTACAGACAAACCAAAGGTGGATTTCCATGAGTTTCCATCCTAGGAGTGGACTGAGCAGGAATCTGAGAATACAAGGTTTCCTGTGTGAGCAGGGAGATACTATTCTGTCAAGAGGAAATTATTTCCTCCTGGCTCCCAGCACTTTAAAGAGAAAACATGAGGATGGCAAGAGGGGTGGGAGTAACGATCTGGGAAATCCCAACCTCAGCAACGGCCTGATCTGCTGACTCCATCTTTTCATAGGTGACGAAGGCACAGCTGGGATGAGAGAAAACAGGGTTAGTGGAGGGGTTACGTCTTCTGAACCCAGCCAACCCCGTGCTCATAGGCCACTGGAGACATACTGGCCTCCTCCTGGGCCTCATCATCAGTTCGGCCTGACTGTCATCCTTACTTTCTGGGAGGGTCCATGGAGAGGTCAATGATGTTTCCAAAGGGAGAGAAGGCCCCACGGAGGAGGGTGGGAGTCATGTCTTCCCCATACACATAGAGAGTATTCCCCTTCCGAGGGGCCCGGCGCTCAGGGAATGAGTCCGACCCTGTGGGATCACAAGATGTACCATGTCTCACCCTCCAATTTAAGAGCGTGCTTTAGTTGGAGCCACTTAAATCCTATCTGAGGTCACTTTTCCCACCAGCCAAGCCAACTCACTGCGGAAAAGGCCCTCTCGGTCCCGGTCCCGGTCTCTGTCCCGGTCTCTGTCCCGGTCCCGGTCTCTGTCCCGGTCCCGGTCCCGGTCCCTGTCCCGGTCCCTGTCCCGGTTCCGCTCACGACTGCGGTCCCGGCTGCGGTTTCGGGGAGGGGAGACTGAGGAGCGGGCACCACCACGTTCTTCATAGCCCCAGTCAAAGCTTCGAGGGAGGCCATCACCAGCCCCTGGGCCTTCTGCCTCATCCCCATCTGCCCCCAGTTCCCGAAGCCGATCACTGGAAGACACAAAGCTAGGGAAAAGACAGGCAATGATGATCAAAGGGGGCCTCTACCTTGTCTTCCCAGATCCCATGGAGACTCAACACTCCCTCTACAGCCTCACCTCCTTCCATTCCAGCCCCACACCTTCTGAGGACTTGGTAAGCCCCTCCCACCACCACCTATTGGGACCCAGTCCTATCTGTAAATTGCTAACCTCTCATACAGAGATTTCCTTTGGGGACGTCTGGATAACTGAAAAAGAGACCAAGTTTCAGTGAAGACAATTCTAGTTGCTGGCATGTAGGTACCCTCAGGGACAGAGGATTGGGGACCGTTACCTCCTGCAGATCGTCGTCGGCAGATATGCTCCTCTGGAATGGCTGGAAAGTGGGGACTGGCCCCTTCTCAGGGTCCTGGAAGGTGGTAGAGACTTACCTCAGTGTGGGAGCAGGGGTTGCTTAACTGTGGGACACAGGGGATTCCTCTTCCCTCACCTTCTTCTGGCCTATCTTTTTTTTTAAATTACTTTGTACTTTTCTTATTTGATTATATAGTATTTTAAATAAATGACCCTAATATTTCCTCAAAGTATTTAGTTTATCTATACATTTCTTGAATGTGATGATACTTCAGCCTGTCTAACTCCTGAGAACAACACAATACCAGAGCTCTAATTCATGGATTAGAGCCATAGAATGAGGAAAGCGGACAGCGCAGGAGTCACCCATTTTCCTCACTTGTCAGATAAGCAACCTGAGGCTCAGAACCATAGAGCAATTTGCCTGTGATCAAACAGGCATTACTTTCCCCCAAACCTACCTCCATTCCAACTTGGAGGGACACCCTCTGAAGTCAAGGGTTCCCTAAACAAGCTTTCTGCTTGTGCTTACTTTTAACTTCCCCTCCAGGGTTCGAGAACGTTTGAAGCCCGAGTTCTTGGTCTCAGCCTTGATGGCACTGATGGCTCCTGATTTCACCAGCTGCTTTGCCTGCTCTGTTGCGGTAGCTGTGTCCACGACAGGCTGCTCTGACAATGCTGAGTGGTGAGGGAAAAAGGCATTATGTTGGCCAGGTGTGAGAAAGATCAGCTCCCATGCTCCCCATTTCCTGTCACTCACAGCGTTTGACACCGCCTTGGCTGGCTGTGCTGCTGCTACTTTGCTTCTTAAGAGCCAGCAATGCCTTTTTCTGGGAACAAGAATGAGAAGAGAGGAGTTGGTGAGGGCCAGTGCCTGACCAGATCCTTTCCCAAGGACCCTAGGCATCTTACTCCAGGGTCCACCATTCTGAGAGAAAACAATGCAGATGGTGCCCCTGGAGTGGTTCACTGAGGCACCCCTGTCTCTTACATATGGTCCCCCAGACCACCTGCAGTGCCAGCGATACCCAAGCTATCCAAACCATGGTATCCAGGGGCTTTCCAAAGTATTATGTTTTTGAAGGTGAAGACAAGGAGTTCAATCATGGACCAGAGCCCCAGGTTATAAGCTGCAAGTAAGTATAAGCCTATGTGTCTTTCTTGGGGGCTTCATCCATCCATCCCCTGTATATTTAACAGAACACGCCATTCATTACTTTATTACAGGGATATGCAAAAGTATGAGACACAGTTCCTCTCCCCCCCAAAGAAGTTTACAACCTGAGAAATAAAATGACTAGACTAAATTGCCAAGAATGTTTATAAGAGGTGAAAACCACTTGAGAGGTGAAAACTACTTGAGAGCATTTTCTGATATCAAATGGCTATTAAACTGGACCCTGGGTGGAATCTGTACAACAGAGACTGAGAAAAAGGGACATTTCAAACAAAGAAAACAAGGTGGCAAAAATGCAGAGGGAAGAAGGCTTTTGGAATGCATGTTTTGGGACTAGTGAATAGTTCTGTTTTACTAAAAAGGGATGCCAACTTAAGGTTTTGCTCTATAGACAAAACGAAACCACTTAAGGGTTTGGAGAAAAAGGACAGAATCTTGTGTTTTCAATGGATCGTTTAAAAAAGGGTGAAGTCTGTTTAAAAAAAAAACCACTGTGGAACACGCTTAGAGACCATTACAACAGTCTAAGTGAATGTCAACAAAGACCTGAATTATGGAATACACAGGAAAAAGTAAACGGGAGGAATTACTTCCAAGAAAGAATCAAGATGACTTGGCAAATGTTTAGCTATACAAATAGAGAAGTCAGTGCTGAGATTTTTTTATTCCCAACACACAAGAGAATTGAATGTGGTCAGTCTGTATTTGGAAGACAAAAAAAATGAACTAGATTAAAATAGGAGGAAGGTGATAGCTTTATTTTGGATAGGCAAAGTTTATCAGCAAGACATCAGATGGAACTGGAAAAACCTAACTTGGGGGTCAACAGCTTTTAGGTGGTAATAAAAGCTGTGGGGAAGGGAGACAACTCCATGGCAAAGTGAGTAGGAAAGAGACAAGGTACACAACAAGACACCAGCCCACCTCTGAAGCTACACTGACAGGTGACAGTCTCTAGGTATGAGTCAGAAGAACCCTCCATCCCTCACCCTCACCCCAAGTGGTCTCAGAGTGTAGAGTCTGAGAAAGATTGGGCCAGGGCCCCACACACTCCCTCACCTTTTTCTTCAGTTTGTTGAACTTCTTCTGCAGAGCCTCCTCCTCCTCGCTCAGTCCAGGGGGTATCACCAACATGGTGGCTCCTGGTTCAGGGGCAGGGCCCAAGACATCTTTCTCCACTGCCAACACCCAGGGTCCACTGTATCCAACCCCAGCCCTCCGGGCTTACTCTTGTGTATCACCTCTCCCTACCCCTTGCTTAAGCTAGGCTGCCGTCCAAGCCTCCGCTCATGGGGGTCAATCAGCATTCCCTCCTCGCTAGGAATCACGGGCACCAGAGGCTTGGGGCACTACGTGGACAGGGGAGAAACACCCTCTCCGTCGACAAGATGATGGCATCAAAAGCCCCCTATCCTCATTGGGGTTAGTATGGCAACTAACCCCGAACTGCAGAGGAGACAGTGGAACCCGCGCAGCGCTCTCAGAGCAACGAAAAAGAGAAGAAGAAAGGAAGGAGCTCGGACAAAAAGGGACGAAGGGTGAGAAAGAGAAGGCCTTACTTGAGGGGGTGTCAACCCGGGCCCAAGGTCTCGCGCGGCGCCCGCGCTGGCAGCAGATCGCTCGCTCGGAGCGATGACGTAGCTAGAGGCGGAAAACGCGGTAACCAAGGTGAAAATACTTCCGCCCGACCTTCTACCGGCAGCCCCTCGGTAGCACTTGTCCTCACTAGGGAATGTGTGTATGTGGCGGAAGTCGCCTTCACTTCCGCCCTTTTGGGGGCGGGGCTTACCTCAAGGCTCCTTGCTGCACTTCCGGGCTGTGGGGCGACTGCGGTGGCTCCAAGATGATGGAGAGGGAGAGACTTGGTGAGGGGGAGGGGGTGGAACAAAGGAATAGACTGGAATCAACCCTTGACTTCTGACCTCTGATCTTTCTCTCGTAGTGCTATCTCCCCCAGATCCCCTGGACCTGCCTCTTCGGGCTGTGGAGCTGGGATGCAGTGGGCGCTGGGAGCTCCTCAATATAGCTGGGGCTCCAGAGAGCACCGTAAGTGACTTTTGACTCTAACCTTTGACCCGCATCAGCTTAAAACCTTACGGTAGGATCTAGCAAGACCCACTTTTCTCTCTGGACACCTGTCATCCGGCCTGGACTGGTGCAGGACAGACTCCAGGCTAGTGGACCTGCTGTAAGTCAGAGTCCCAGTGAGGACCAGCAGGGAGCGCCAGCGATATTTTTTCTCATCCCACTGGTGGTTGAGATGCTAGCCTTTGAGCCCCTGACTCTTCATCTTTAGGTCTGGGACCTAAATCCAGTGATTGTCAAATTTAAGTGTGTCTCATAATTAGTGGGGGGCCAGCGGGGGGTCCTTATTTAAAATACAAATTCTTAGGTCCAGCCCCAGATTCTGAAATCTGAAATCTGTATTATTAACCAGTGCCTGTAGTAATTCAGTAGCAGGCCATTTGTCCTGTAAAGCATTCAGCCTCTGGAAAATATTGCTTCCCTTTGATTGTCCTCGTGTGTCTGGGACATCTACCATTTCTGATCTAAACATGAGTCCCATCACTTTCTCTCATCTTGCCCTTGTTCCAGCTTCCGCACAACCTCCTTCCCTGTGCCCCAGATCTGCAGCAAGAAGCAGAGCAATTGTTTCTGTCATCTCCAGCCTGGCTGCCTCTGCATGGCCTGGAACACTCAGCTCGGTGAGGGGTCTGGAGGAGGGGCTTGGACTAGGGAGATGGGCCCCTGAAGGAAGCTGAGACAGAGAAGAAAGAAGATTTGAAAGCCACTTCCTTTTCTCCAGAAAATGGCAGCGGAAGATGGATCCCTGGTCTCTCCTTGCTGTACTGGGGGCCCCAGTCCCCTCTGACCTACAAGCCCAAAGACACCCAACCACAGGCCACATACTGGGCTACAAGGAGGTAAGAGATCAGGGGTCACGAGAAGCAGAGTTGGGAAAAGGAGGGTCAGAGGCAAGATCACCTTCACTGGGGCTCTGATTTCTTGCCTCAGGTCTTGCTGGAGAATACAGACCTGTCAGCCACGACCTCATTATCTCTTCGCCGGCCGCCAGGGCCCATCTCCCAGTCCCTGTGGGGGAATCCAACACAATACCCTTTCTGGCCAGGTGACTCTTGTGGAAATGAGATTGTAGGGGAGGGAGCTCTCAGTCTCCAGGGAAGGGTTCCCGTATCACCCCTCATGAATCCGTATGTGTCCGACCTCTCCCAGGTGGAATGGATGAGCCCACCATAACAGATCTGAGCACTCGGGAGGAAGCCGAGGAGGAGATAGACTTTGAGACAGGTGAGGTGGTGCCAGGATGGACCCTTAGGAGGCAGGGCTCCAAGTCTGGGCCTTGAGGATGAGGGGCCCAGGCCCATCACTGGGCTGCTGCTAGCTAGTCCTTCCCTGCCTTTGAGCAAATTAGGAGAAGGTCCCTCTTCCATAACAACTTTTACTGTTATTTGTTGGCAAATTATTACAACTGTCCCCAGCTACAAAGCCTCTACTGTGAATGGTATCCTTTAGGTTTATGTAACGTCTGACCTGTACAATAGTGCAGTGCACCTGACCTCTGTCCCTGTTCTCCAGCTCTTCTTACTGTTCCACCTGGCTTCAAGAAAGGTGTGGACTTTGCACCAAAGGGTGAGTTTTGAGATGGGGGGTATAGGAGACGTGGTGCCCTTCTCCTATAAAAGAGAAATGGACATGATTGGGTCTCCCATTTTGCCTTGCTTCTCAGATTACCCAGCTCCAACTCCTGGGTTGCTCAGCCTCAGTCGTCTGCTAGAGCCCCTGGATCTGGGTGGCGGTGATGAAGATGAGAGGGAGGCAATGGGACAGCCAGGAGGTACCAGAGGGGACACAGTTATGGCCTCTCCCTGTAATGCTCCCTTGGTTCGAGCAAGCAGCTTGGAGGACCTAGTGTTGAAGGTTGGTGCTTCTGGGTAGTCAAAATAGGAAAGAAGGGTGCCTTGCTACCAGGAGGGTGGGTTGGCTTGGTTGGATCTATGGGGAAGACCAGAGTAATCTTTTGAGGGGAGTGGTAATGGGGAGTTTTCTGGCTATACCTTTATCACTCCTACCCCTTACTTTTCCAGGAAGCTTCCACAATTGCATCCTCCCTAGAGCCCCCCAAAACCCTTCCTCAGGAGCAGTGGGCCATTCCTGTGGATGTCACCACCCCTGTTGGTGATTTCTACCGCCTCATTCCCCAGCCAGCCTTCCAGGTAGTGTGACCCTGGCCTCACATCCCACTCCCAGCCCACTGCCTTGTTTCCTCTCCTCACCAGAGGCCAGATGCGTTCCAGGCAGTCTTGGACCTCAGTCCCAGCCTTGCCTCACTCTGGCCTCCCCACTGCCCTGTGTGCCCCGTGAGAGGTAGGAAGGCCCCTCTCCCTCCCTTCTTTAGTCCCCATCCATTTCTGTCTCCCACAGTGGCCGTTTGAGCCTGACGTGTTCCAGAAACAGGCCATCCTGCACTTGGAACGGCACAACTCAGTCTTTGTGGCAGCTCACACATCCGCAGGGAAGACAGTTGTGGCTGAATATGCCATTGCCCTTGCCCAGAAGCACATGACACGGTACAGCATTTCCCTTCCTCAGCTGTCCCTGCTTTCTCCTGCATCCTTTCTAAATCTCATCTCTTCCCACGTCTTTACCTCATCTTTTAGTTGGGAGATATGGGGGAGGAACTGAGCCATGGGCCCAGGAAGAAATGAGAAGGTGTGGGGAGAGAGTTTAGAAGAATGACCTGTGTGGCTTTAGTTCAGGAAAGGGATGTGGAACAGAATTTTCCTGGGGTTATGTCATGAAGGAGAATGAGGGCAGTTCAGATGCAGAACGGGGGCCCCTGAGCTCTGCGGCATGCTGCTGGGAGGGCTCAGGGTGGGAGAGGAGGTGCTGGCCACAGTCTGTATGGAGAGACTGGCTCACTTCATGCCCTCTTCTCAGCACCATCTACACTTCGCCTATCAAGGCTTTGAGTAACCAGAAGTTCCGAGACTTCCGAAACACATTTGGGGATGTGGGACTGCTCACTGGGGATGTACAGCTGCACTCAGAGGCCTCTTGCCTCATCATGACGACAGAGATCCTTCGGTGAGAGATGGGCACTCAACACGGGTGGATTTTTGGTGAGGAACATGAGGCTGTTCTGGGGAGCATGTTGGCCAAGTTGGTAGAGGCAGGAGCCCTGGAGAGTCAGCCTTCAGTCTCTCTTCTCCCCAGCTCCATGCTGTACAGTGGCTCAGATGTCATCCGGGACCTGGAGTGGGTCATCTTTGACGAGGTTCACTACATCAACGATGCTGAGGTAAGGGGCATGAGGCCCACGGGACCCTGCACCCAGGAACCCTTTCCTGTGGAACTAGTTCAGCAGCTCCCTCTTCCACATACCCTGAAACATTACTGCCTTCTTTGCCCTCCATGGGAGCCTAGGAGCAGAAGGGCAGCCCCTCTGAGCCACCCAATGACTTGTCTTCCCTCTCTGTGCCCAGCGTGGGGTCGTGTGGGAGGAGGTGCTTATCATGCTCCCTGAACATGTCTCTGTCATCCTTCTGAGTGCCACTGTTCCCAACGCCCTTGAATTTGCTGATTGGATTGGGTGAGATGTGCGTTCTGGGGTGCTTGGGTGAAAGAGGCTGTAGTCTTCCTTGATTGGGGTGGGGAGGGGGTGAAGATTGCCACAGCAGAAAGAGTCGCCAGACCTTGGGGGTGGGAGGAGGAAGGGGTGGGGCTGGGGAACATGGCCCACTTGGGCCCAGACCACTTTGCATGCTGAGAGATGTGACGACAGGAACAGCCTTCCAGCCTTCTGGCTCTCAGAAAAGACTGGGTGAGGCCAGAAGCGGAAAGGTGGGTGGGGATATGGGTTGTTCCTTACCACACTCCCATCCCTGATCGACTGTTCCCTTCCCACTCAGACGACTGAAGCGTCGTCAGATCTACGTGATCAGCACTGTCACTCGCCCCGTCCCCCTAGAGCATTATCTCTTTACGGGGAACAGTCCCAAGACCCAGGACGAACTCTTCCTGTTGCTGGACTCCCAAGGCACCTTCCACACAAAGGGGTAAGCTGGAGATGCAGGGGAGAGTCAGGGTTGGGCCTGGCTGGGTGTGACTGACAGCTGCCTTCCATGTACCTCAGGTACTATGCAGCTGTGGAGGCCAAGAAGGAGAGGATGAGCAAACACGCCCAGACCTTTGGGGCCAAGCAGCCCACGCATCAGGGGGGCCCAGCACAGGTCAGAACCAGCGGGCTTCGCACCTGTCATCACTTACCCCTTCCTTCGTCCCCTGGGACTGCACTTGAGCTTTGTGTGTCGCCCAGCCTGACAGTCTTTTACCAGCCCCCACTTTGGCTCCCACTGGCTCCCACCTCTGTCCCTTTACACTTCTCCAGGACCGAGGTGTGTACCTGTCCCTCCTGGCTTCCCTCCGCCGCCGTGCACAGCTGCCCGTGGTGGTGTTCACCTTTTCCCGGGGCCGCTGTGATGAGCAGGCTGCGGGCCTCACCTCCCTTGACCTCACCACAAGTTCAGAGAAGAGCGAGATTCACCTCTTCCTGCAGCGCTGCCTTGCTCGCCTCCGAGGCTCTGACCGCCAGCTGCCCCAGGTGTGGAGGGGGCACTGAAAACTGGTGGGAGTGGGTGCTGCACTCCGCGCCCCCACCCGACCATGGCCTCTCGGCTATCTGCAGGTGCTGCACATGTCAGAGCTCCTGCACCGAGGCCTGGGCGTGCACCACAGCGGCATCCTACCCATCCTCAAGGAGATCGTGGAGATGCTTTTCAGCCGTGGCCTGGTCAAGGTGCACATGCTGCCCTGCTCCTTCCTCATTGCGAGATCTTTTGCAAATTACTTAATTTCCCTGAACTTTATGTTTCCCATCTTAACATGAGGATGCATTCAGAAGAGAAACCCGAAAAGCTAGCAAGCATATAAGTTAGAAAAATGCAAATTGAAATACTTATAAGACTTCACAGTGATTAAACTGATAAAACTTAGGGAACTGGCTAATGCCAAGTATTGCCGAAGCCATAAGGACTACAGGCAGACCTCGGAGGTACTGCGGGCTTGGTCCCGGACCACCACAAAATGAATACCTCATTAAAGTGAGTTTTTGGTTTCTCAGTACATGTGAAAGTTATGTTTACACTGTACTGTACTTTGTAAAGGTACAGTAACATTATAACATTATATCTAAAATCAACATACATACTTTAATTAGAGAATACTGTTAAAAAATGCTCACCATCTCCTGAGCCTTCAGTGAATTGTAATCTTTATGCTGGTGGAGGGTCTTGCCTCCACGTTGACTGAAGTGCAGTATGTGAAATGCAGTAAAGCGAGGTCTGCCTGTACAGGATGACAGGAACTCTCACACAGGGGTGGCCAGTCTGGAGTGTGCCCTGGCATTCTTTAGGTAAGAATAACATACTCTTTGATCCTCAATTCCATTCCTGAGTATAAACCACGAAGAAGTTCTCATCCTGGTCCACGATGGAATGTGTCCGCTCTTCCTTTATTGGCTCTAGTCTTGTGGCAGGGTGTCGGTGGTGGTCCTGAGGCGCCCTTCACTGGGAGAACAGGTAGGTAGCTATAGGGCAGGCACCCCACAGGGTGTCCTGCTATAGTTGGAAGCAAGGGATTAGGTATAACCACAGGAATGCAGATGGATGCTGAAAACATGACGTGGAGGAAAAGAAGTGAGGAAACAGAAGGGGATCTATAAATGCCTTTAATATGGATTGCAAATTACACACACACAAGACAAGATGATGTGCAACAGCATATTCACACAAAAAGATACTCCTTAAAGACATTGGATAACTGGCAGTGGGGGCATGGAAGTGGGACATGGGGGTGCAAAGAAATAAATAGACAGCTAAATCAATAAAATGAGGAAAATGATAGTCCCCACTCCAAAGTTTTGCCTGGAGAGTTAAATGGGCTTCTGTGAGTTAACCATCTGCATCGTGTCAGGTAGCCTTGGTACAGAGTAAGATGTGCTGGGTGTCTGTGTGTAGCCCCTTTGCTGATCTTCTCCTGTGTCCCAGGTCCTGTTTGCCACTGAGACCTTTGCCATGGGGGTAAATATGCCGGCCCGAACAGTGGTGTTTGATTCCATGCGCAAGCACGACGGCTCCACCTTCCGGGACCTGCTCCCTGGGGAGTATGTGCAGATGGCAGGTAGGGCAGGCCGGAGGGGCCTGGACCCCACAGGCACCGTTATCCTGCTCTGCAAGGGCCGAGTGCCCGAGATGGTGGACCTGCACCGAATGCTGACGGTGAGCCAGGCAGCATGAGGAAAGCTGGAGGGCTCCAACTGGATTCTCTCTCTTCAACCCCCTTCCCCTCTCCTTTCTTTCTTTTTCCTTTTGCCTGGGAGAAGCCAAGGTAGAGTGAGCAAATCCAAGGGTGAGACCCAGTCTCATCTCTAGCTTTCCTACTGAGTACGGAGCTAGCTGGCCCTTTGCAGATTTATCACTTAGTTTTGTTCCCTGAGTTTGCAGAGGAGGTGAGCAGGCAGTTTGTCTGGGGTCCCATGGTTTCAGAGCTGGGACTGTCTGTAGAGGGCTGGCTGGGGGCAGTCGGCCCATCCTGGTTGCCCACCCCCCCACACAGGGTAAGCCATCGCAGCTGCAGTCGCAGTTCCGCCTCACATACACCATGATCCTCAACCTGTTGCGGGTGGACGCCCTCCGGGTGGAAGACATGATGAAGAGGAGCTTCTCGGAGTTTCCGTCCCGCAAGGACAGCAAGGTGAGGGGTCAGGATGATCAGTATACCAGGCTGGATGTCAGACAAGGGAAGCCAGGCCAGGAAGAGGCAAGCATGTAGAGGCCAGTGGGGTGCAGGTGGGGATGTGGCAGACTGAACCTGGAGACTTGTTTTGCACCTGCCCCCACTTCTGCTCAGGCCCATGAACAGGCTCTAGCTGAACTAACCAAGAAGCTGGAGGCCTTAGAGGAACCTGACCTGACCGGCCAACTGGTCGACCTTTCCGAGTATTACATCTGGGGAGAAGAATTGACAGAGATTCGGAGCCTGATCCAGGTGAGCCAATGTGTGTGTCGTTGGGGTGATGGCGGAGGGAAGGAAGACAGGGTGACACTCTGGAGACTCCTGAACCTCGTGCCAGCATCCCTGACACTTTCTCCTTTATCCCTTTCATGCATATCTTCACTCTTCAGCGACGTGTCATAGAGTCTGTGAATGGGCTGAAATCTCTCTCATCTGGAAGGGTGGTGGTTGTGAAGAATCAGGATCATCACAATGCACTGGGTGTGATCCTGCAGGTGACTCGAAGGGAACCTGGGCCCCAGAGGGCAGGGCAGGCCACACTCAGCTGTGCTCTTGTTTTCCCCTTTTGCCATCCTTCCCATCACCACCACTTCATGCCCACCTCCTGGTCCTTCTCCACATGCCCCTCCCCCACCCTGTCTGCTCTGATTGTTTGACTTGGTTACCAGTCTATACTGGTGGGCTCTGCATGATGCTCCATGATCCCTGCCTGAAGGTAGAGATCTGTCTCTAATTTTGTTATCCACTCTTCATATTGCCCTGTCCTGGCGTCTCCCACTTCCCCTAGGTCTCCTCAAACTCTACTGGCAGATCGTTCACAACCCTGGTCTTGTGTGATAAGCCCCTGTCTGAGGACCCATGGGACAGGGGGTCGGCCTCCCCAGGCGTGCCCTACCCAGATGACCTTGTGGGATTCAAGCTGTTCCTGCCTGAAGGTGAGAGTGGGACAGATGTTCAGGTTCCTAACATCAGTACAGGCAGGACACTGGGGTTACAGTGAGGCCTGACCCTGATCTTCCCTTTTCACAGGGCCCTGTGACCACACTGTGGCCAAGCTTCAGCCCAGAGATGTGGCTGCCATCACCACCAAAGTGCTCCGGGTGAACGGAGAGAAGATCTTGGAGGACTTCAGCAAAAGGCAGCAACTGAAATTTAAGTTAGATGCTGGGGAACCCATTTTCCTGGGAAGGGACTATGTCATGGGGAGTGGGAGGTATGGTTGGGGCGTCTCCCCTGGCCTGAGGGAGCTCTTACATAAGAGAAGTCTCAGGACCTACTCCTTCCTTAGGCAGGATCCTCCTGTTGCTGCCGTGACCACTGCTGTCCAGGAACTGCTGCGCCTGTCTCAGGCCTACCCAGCAGGACCCCCTACCCTCGACCCTGTCAACGACTTGCAGCTTAAGGATATGTCGGTGGTTGAGGGTGGACTCCGTGCCAGGAAGCTCGAGGAGCTGATCCGGGAAGCTCAGTGTGTGCACAGCCCCCGTTTCCCTGCCCAGGTAGGGCCCCGGATGCTGGCTTCAAAGCTCTCTCTCTGGTTCCCTGAAGGCTGCCCACCCCATCTCAGCCTTGGTTCTCAGGGCCCTGTGGAGGGCGAGAGGAAGGCTAACCCAGGCCTACCCGTGGCTCTCCACAGTACCTGAAGCTTCGGGAGCGAATGCAGGTACTAAAGGAGATGGAGCGGCTGCGCTTCCTACTGTCAGATCAGTCGCTGCTACTGCTCCCCGAGTACCACCAGCGAGTACAGGTGAGAGTGTTGGTAGGGGGAAGGGGGCTAGTGAGGAAGGGCAGCAGGCTCCTAACACCCACCATCTTCTGTCCAGGTGCTCCAAACCCTGGGTTATGTAGACGAGGCAGGCACAGTGAAGCTGGCGGGGCGGGTGGCTTGTGCCATGAGCAGCCACGAGCTGCTCCTCACTGAGCTCATGTTTGACAACGCTCTGAGTGCCCTGCGGCCAGAGGAGATTGCAGCCCTGCTCTCTGGTCTGGTCTGCCAGAGCCCTGGGGACACTGGGGAACAGCTCCCAAGTACCCTCAAACAGGTATGGGGTGCCCACCCCTCTCCCTCCCCTGGCTGCACATTCCCAGTCCCCATTCCCAGGTTTCCCCAAGTGACCTCTCCAGCCTGTGAGTGCTCCTAAGAGCTGGAATGGCTTGTTCCTTGATCTGAGTCTCCCTTATCCTAGAGCAAGAAGGCAGTTCTTAACTGTCCATCCCCATCCGTAGGGAGTGGAACGTGTCCGGGCTGTGGCCAAGCGGATTGGTGAGGTTCAGGCGGCCTGTGGCCTGAACCAGACAGTGGAGGAATTTGTAGGGGAGCTGAATTTTGGGCTTGTTGGAGTTGTGTACGAGTGGGCCCGGGGCATGGTGAGTAACTAGGGTTTGGGGTTTTGTAGGCAGCTGGTTGGGGAAAGGCTGCCCAGGTTTATCATATTCAGTCCCCACCCTGCTCCCCCCACAGCCCTTCTCTGAGTTGGCAGGGCTCTCGGGGACCCCTGAGGGCCTGGTGGTCCGCTGCATCCAGCGCCTCGCCGAGATGTGTCGGTCGTTGCGGGGGGCGGCCCGCCTGGTAGGCGAGCCTGTGTTAGGTGCCAAGATGGAGACGGCAGCCACCCTGCTACGGAGGGACATCGTCTTCGCAGCCAGCCTCTATACTCAGTGAATGACTCCCGTGTAAAAAGTGGTAATAAAACAGCAAACCGTCTGTGTGTGCTTGAGGGTGACTCAGCTCAAGAGACACAACAGGGAGAAGCACCTGGAGATATGTCTTTAACTCCACAGAGACAGAACCAGCTCCCGCCCTTAAGTATCAGTCTTTAGGGGATGGTGTCTTGGGGGTTGATGGGAAGTCCTGAGTCATGGCTTCCACATACCATGTGGGCAGGAAGGCATGGGGTACATCTCGATGTACAGACACTGTGACTGGGCCACCAGGCTCCCAGGAGAAGAGGTGGACGAGCCTGAGAAGAGGGAGTTGCCAGTTGAGGGCTGGAGGGTGGGCTTCAGGGACCCAGAGGGAAGGGTTAGAGTCGAATGCCTCACCTGGGGTCATCCTGGATAACTGTGTTCTGGGCAAAGCTAAGGAAGGCAGCACAGAAGTTCATGCACACAGAGGGATTCCAGCCGTCACGGTCATTCTGGAGAGGGCAAAGGAGGAGGCAGAGATGAGTGAGGGCAAGAGTGGGGGGAGGGGAATGCACATGCAGCCCGGGACACGGGACCCGTGGTCTTGGCCTCGGGGCTGTGGCACCACTGCCTCACCCTGACGTGTTCGAACATCTGCATGGTGGGAAAGGTCTTGAGGGAACAGACGAAACCCTCTGGGTTACGGAAGCCAGCAACAACATTTGGGACCCCCAGGAGGAATGACTGAGCCCACCATTTCAGAAGCTTGTGTCTGTAAGGAAAGATGAGGTGTCGGTGGGACCCCACCTCCATCCTCCGCCTCTTCCCCCAAGTCCCTTCCCCAGCTGTCAGTTCTAAGCTCTTGCCCTGCCCACTCCTCAACCTGTAGAAACTCCTCCATTGGCCAGGGCTGTGCATCTCCTTGGAGGTCTTGAGTTCCACATAGCAGGTGGGGGGCTGTGGGGACGGGGCCTGTGGGTCTGTGCAGTCTACCTCCCCTGAGAAGAGCAGAGGGTGGTTTCCCAAGCGGCTGCGTAGCACAGAGCAGAAGGCCACGTTGGTATTTACCTCCCCAGAGGGGTCCGGGGAGCCTCCAGGTTTGTCTGTACAGGGAGAGAAGCAGCGGCAGGGGTGGGGGCTCTCAGTCTCTGGGGAAGGGGGAGGGAGCTACAGAGCAGGGGCAACTCTCACCTGCACACATGTACTGCTCAAACTTGTACCCCATGTACATAAGTTCCCGAAGGAGGGGTGGCCGGGCAAGCCTCTGGGCTCGAGCAGCTGGTGTCTCTACCTCACTCAGGTACAGTGTCCCCTGGAACCTGGAGGCCGCCAGCTGCCAGCCTTCCTGCCGCTCATATGGTGTTGTCAGCAGTTTTGTCAGGTGCCCCCGCCACGTCACTATGGCCCCTGTCAGCCAGCTTGGACCCCTGAGAGGGAGGAGTTAGAGGCTGAACGTCTGACAAACAGTAGCTCAGATGGCTCCCCCAAAGAACAGCCCAAGTTTCTTCAGAGGACTAAATGCCCTCCAGCTTTGGCTTTCCTAATTTTAGGGGGCAGGTACAGGTCTGCATCTACTTGTGTGCTGTGCTCAGCTCACCCTTCCAGCCGGCCTCTGTGCTCCAGGAGCCAGCGTAGCAGGTGGTCCAGGCCTTCTCGGACCTCCTCGTCCCGGGGCTGGTATCGATCAGGGTATCCGTCTCTGAGGTCAAAGTTGGGGCACTGACCATTGGTGGGGGGTGGGCTGTAGTAGCGCAAGGCTTGGGCATCTCCATGGTACTGGCGTTGGGCATCCAGGGAGAAGCAGCCCATTTGTGAAGGGCGCCGGTAAAAAGGAAAGGGCCCAGAGTAGAGGGCAGGGTCTGTGGGTAGTGAAGGGGCTGGGCGGGGGAGTTTGTTCCGAGGTTCAGCTACTTCTACCTTCCCAGCTCCTCTCTTGGTCCCTCTGGGCTCCATGAGATCCTGAGAGATGAGGGGAAAGTTCCGCTTTTATAACGGAGGCCTGGAGAATGGGGACTCGGGGTCAGGACCAAGTAAGTCGCCTGATGGCGAGAGTCTGGCTTTGAAACACGGAGTCCTCAGCCCCTTACACAGAACCACCGCCAGGTGCACCCATGGCCCTACCTTTTTACCACCAAGGCGAAGAGGTTAGGAAGGGTGTTTGGGCTCAGATCAAGGATCTGGTTGCTTCTCAGCCCGCCAAACTCAACTCCCACCTCCGCAGAGCTTTGACGTCTCGGCAGGTACAGCCGAACTCTGAGGGAAGCTAAACAGGTTTTCGGCTCTGGCTGGCGCAATCACTCAGCGACAGTGGCTGGCAAACCCCTCGCACCAGGAAGTTGGTCATTACGCGGCGGCCCGCGCCCGCGGCACTGCCAGGCTTCGGGGACCTGAGTTCCCAGGGGCAGCGGAGCAGCACGGGCCCCGGAATCCGCATCGGCACCGCCCCTCGCAGCCAGGGCACGAGAGACGACGGGTGGACGTCTCTTTTGTCACTGTAGGGCCTGACTTACGCTCCGCCCAGTCTTGGAAGACGTCACTGCTCCGCGCCGGAAGTGTATTTTCCTGGTCTTTCCCTCAACACCTTCCCCTTCTTCGGCCCCACAAGATCCCGGGTCATGAGCCGGAAGAGGCAGCACCTGGTCCCGGAGACTTTGGGACTGAAGAGGCGGCGGGAACCAGGGCATGCAGAGGGAGACCCTTTGAGGGGCGAGACAGGTAACCGTGACAACCGGGAAGTCTGCACGAGCGGCCTCGCCTCCCCTCACCCTAGATGCTGGGAGGACGGCACCCCCATAAGCGTGCCCCCGCTCTAGTTCACGTCCCAGTGACCAGGCCTCTCCGCCCAGGATCGGCACGCGCGGCAGTCGCGGAGCTGGTGCGGCTGTTCCCCCGAGGTCTGTTCGAAGATGCGCTGCCGCCCATCGCGCTCAGGAGCCAGGTGTACAGCCTTGTGCCCGACCGGACTGCGGCTGACCGGCAGCTGGTGAGGGGCGTCGGAGCCACCGACCGAAGCAGTACTCAGGCTCTCGTTCCGCCAGCCATCCTGCCATTCAGCAAGCCTAGCTCTTTTTGGGCAAGACACTGCAGTGCCAGGGAGAATGCTACAGACTCTGTTAAAGGACGCGCAGGCAGTGGGGAGCATGACGCAGTGGGAGCATGAAGTTGGGGGAGCCTGCAGTGCTGGGAGTGCAGGCAGACGTCAAATTACAATAGGCCTTGAGCATCAGTGTTGTTTCTGCTTTACACCGAAGACAGTGATCTTAGAGCATGTTAAACAGGAGAGGGAGCGGTGTGTTGCGTGGTTTGGAGGTAGTGAGATGAGGCAGGGGGATCAATTCGAAGAAACTGTCTCTGAGAACTGGTGAAGGCCTAAATTAGGGCAGTGTAGCAGGAAGGGAGAAGGTTGGGTGAGGGATGTAGGAAGTGGCAAGAGGGAGGAATCCAAGATAACTCAAGATTTTATGGTGGACATACTGAGAGGTTGGCTGGTGGAGTGAATAGAGAAGCACATTGATTTGTTGGGCAAAAATGATGTTCTTAATTTTGTGCAAGTTGGGTTGGAGGTGCTTGTGGAGCGTCCAAAAACAAATGTGTAGTAGACAGTTGCATGTGAAGGTTTTTGGAGAAAATGTTTTGGAGAGAAGGTTTTGGAAGGGCTTTGGAGAGAATTCTGGGCCCATGATTTAGAATTGGAAGTTATTGAGAAGTGAGAGGTGGTTCAAAGTCTGTGGATGTGAGTGAGATCGGATCGGAAGAGTGAGTAGAGGGGTGATTTTTAACCTTTTTGCATACTTCAGTAGATAATGAAAGCAGTATCTTTCTTTACCGAAAAATGCATACACGCCATGTATATACAATGTACATGCACAATTTGGGAGGAAGGTGTGCAACAGATATTCTGAGGCCCATGGTTAAGGACTTCAGGTTTATAGTGAAAGATTATAGGGCCAGATCCACAGTGCTGAGATATTCCAATATTTAAGGCAGTATTTCTCAGAGTATGTCCTGGGTTCTATATCAGAATTATTTGGGCTGCTTCTTAAAAAATGCTCAGGGTACTGAATTAAGGTCTCTTGGGGTAGGACCTGGTAATCTACATTTTGAACTACTGCCCCAAGTGATTCATAATGTGCCTTAAAATTTGAGATCCACCGATGTAAGGGGAAAGCAGAGGAAAAGGAGTCTGGGAAAGAGGCTGAGAAGGAATGCCTAGAGTTAGGGTAACCCAGGAAGAGGCCTATTGTGAAAGTAGAGATTTTCAACAAAGTGGGGTATTTGGCGTTTTTAAACCCATGATTCAGGGCAGTGATCTGTGAGGAGGTCAAGAAAAAATAATATCCCAAATCTGTCCATTGGGTTTAGCAGGTAGAAGGTTAATACGGCAACCTGTCGGAAAGAAGAGGGAAGAATGGAAAGATGGAGACCAACTCCAGTCTCATGAGGAAGCAAGTCAGGTGGAACCACTCTCATATATATAGTATTTGTTATTTTTAATCTAATCAACTGGTGTTAGCCTGAATTTTTTTAAAAACTTTAAAAGTTGGCACAAAAGAAAATGTAAACATGTACACACACACAATTTAAAGAATGTTTACAGACCATATACCCATTTAACCACCACCCAAGTTAGACTGTAGAACACCGCCAACATCCGACATATATCGCTCTCCGTTCAAAATGCCTTATGTCCCTGGAAGGTGACTGCTGTCCTGACTGGTATGACAGTTCCTTCGGTTCTCTTTATGCCACCTATGTGTTTATCCATGAACAGCATAACTCAGTTTTACCCACTTTTGAACTCATTATAAACAAAAATCATACTGAGTGTATTTATTTATATCTTATTTCTTTTTTAATGTATTTTATTGATTATGCTATTATAGTTGTCCCATTTTCTCCTCTTCCCTCCACCCTGCGCACCCTCTCCCACCCACATTCCCCTCCTTTAGTTCATGTCCATGTGTCATAAGTTCTTTAGCTTCTACATTTTCTATACTATTCGTACCCTCCCCTGTCTATTTTCTGCCTACCATCTATGCTACTTATTCTCTGTACCTTTTCCCCCTCTCTCCTCCTCTCACTCCTTTGTTGCTAACCCTCCATGTGATCTCCATTTCTCTGGGTCTGTTTCTGTTCTAGTTGTTTGCTTAGTTTGTTTTCATTGTTTTAGGTGTGGTTGTTAATAATTGCGAGTTTGCTGTCATTTTACTGTACATGCTTTTTATTTTCTTTTTCTGAGATAAGTCCCTTTAACATTTCATATAATAAGGGGTTGGTGATGATGAACTCCTTTAACTTGACCTTATCTGAGAAGGACTTTATCTGCTCTTCCATTCTAAATGAAAGCTTTGCTGCATACAGCAATCTTGGATGTAGGCCCTTGCCTTTCATGTTTCAAATAGTCCTTTCCAGCCCCTTCTTGCCTGCAAGGTCTCTTTTGAGAAATCAGCTGAGAGTCTGATGGGAACTCCTTTGTAGGTAACTGTCTCCTTATCTCTTGCTGCTTCTAGGATTCTCTCCTTCATTTTAATCTTGGGTAATGCAATGATGGTGTGCCTTGGTGTGTTCCTCCTTGGGTCCAACTTCTTTGGGACTTTTTGAGCTTCCTGGACTTCCCGGAAGTCTATTTCCTTTGCCAGATTAGGGAAGTTCTCCTTTATTATTTGTTCAAATAACTTTTCCACTTGTTGCTCTTCCTCTTCTCTTTCTGGTACCCCTATAATTCGGATGTTGGAATGTTTAAAGGTGTCCTGGAGGTTCCTAAGCCTCCTCATTTTTTTGAATTCTTGTTTCTTCCTTCTCTTCTGTTTGGTTGTTTCTTTCTTCCTTCTGGTCCACTCCATTGATCTGAGTCCCAGTTTCCTTCCCATCACTATTGGTTCCCTGTACATTTTCCTTTATTTCACTTAGTGTAGCCTTCATTTGTTCATCTAATTTGTGACCAAATTCAACCAATTCTATGAGCATCCTGATCACCAGTGCTTTGAACTGTGCGTCTGATAGGTTGGTGATCTCCTCGTCACTTAGTTGTATTTTTTCTGGAGCTTGGATCTATTCTTTGGTTTGGGCCAATTTTTTTTTTTTTTGTCTTGACGCACCTGTTACGTAGTTAGGGGTGGAGCCTTAGGTGTTCGCCCAAGCAGGGCAACCCAGTAGCTGTGTTGTGATGCTGTTTGTGCGGGAGGGTCCGAGAGGGAACAATGGTGCTTGCTCCACTCTCTGCTGAATTTCAGTTACTTCCACTGCTTCCCCTAAGCAAACTGGGCCCTTCTGGTGCTGATTCACATGTGGGTGGGTTTGTGTATGTCCTAGGACCCTGTGGGTCTCTCCAATGAACTCTACTGTGAGGCTGGGAGTCTCTCCCTGCACCTCAATCCCCACAGGTGTTTTCAGTCGGTGTTTTGAGGCTTTATTTCCCTGCACTGGAGCCCTGGGTTGCACAGTCCATCTTGCTCCGCAGTTTCTCCTGGTTTATCTGTGCGAGAATGTGGGACCACCTGATTCCGCCAGCCGCCTTACATGCTGTCCACAATCTGCCACCTCTCTGGATCCACCAGCTGCTGCTTCTGGCACCTGAGATCTGCCAGCCACTGCTTTTTTTTTTTTGCCTCGACCCCTCTCTACCATGCCGCCTAACTCCACTCCTCCTACCAGTCTAGATGAATGTGTCTGCTTTAATTCCTTGGTTGTCGGACTTCCATACAGTTCAATTTCCTGTCAGTACTGGTTGCTATTTTTTTTCTAAATTTTTGTTGTCCTTATTTTTGTTGTGGGAGGAGGCACAGTGTGTCTACCTATGCCTCCATCTTGGCCGGAAGTCTATATCTATTTCATTAAGTGAATATTTTTGAGATTCTTCCAAATTGTCACCTGTAGCTGTAGTTAGTTCATTTTCATAGATTTCCATTTTGCAGACCTATCCATTTTGTTCATTCACTTGGAAAAATTGTATTTTTCTAGGAATTTGTTGATTTCACCTAAACTTTCAAATTCATTGGCATAAAGTTTGGAGTCTCTTTTTATTGTTTGTAGAATAATAGATTTCTCCTCCCTTTTTCTTGGTCAGTCTCACCAGTGACTTATCAACATTAATAGTCTCTCAATGTTTTTTTTTTTTTTATTATTGGTCATATACAGTTTTCTCCTTTTTACTCCCAATCAAGTCCCCCCTCCCACCCTCCCCACTTCCCTCCCATTACCACCCTCCCCTTAGTCTATGACCATGTGTCCTTTAAGTTTGTTCCTGTGAACCCTTCCCACTGTCCCCTTAAATTCCCTCTTCTCGCCCCTCCGGTCACCATCAGCCTGTCCTCTATTTCAGTGTCTTTGGTTACATTTTGCTTGTTTCTTTGTTTTGTTATTTAGGTTCCTGTTAAAGGTGAGATCATATTGTATTTGTCTTTCACTGCCTGGCTTGTTTCGCTTAGCATAATGTTTTCCAGCTCCATCCACGCTGTTGCAAAGGGTAGGAGCTCCTTCTTTCTTTCTGCTGCATAGAATTCCATCGTGTAAATGTACCATAGTTTTTTGATCCATTCATTTACTGATGGGCATCTTGGTTGCTTCCAGCATCTAGCTATTGTAAATTGTGCTGCTATGAACATTGGGATGCATAGGTTCTTTTGAATTGGTGTTTTAGTATTCTTAGGATAGAGTCCCAGCAGTGGAATTGCAGGGTCAAAAGGCAGATACATTTTTAGTTTTCTGAGGAAGTTCCATATTGCTTTCCATAGTGGTTGTACCAGTCTGCAGTCCCACCAACAGTGCACTAGGGTCCCCTTTTTCTCCACAACCTCTCCAACACTTGTTGTTTGTTGCTTTGTTTATGATGGCCATTCTGTCTGGTGTGAAGTGGTATCTCATTGTGGTTTTAATTTGCATCTCTCTGATAGCTAGCGATATTGAACATCGTTTCATGTGTCTTTGGATATTCTGTATGTCCTCCTTGGAGAAGTGTCTGTTCAAGTCCTTTGCCCACTTTTT